CTCAATGAAACTTAGATGGACGGGGTATATACTCTTAAAATTGAATTCCCTTAGTTACTCAGGTACTTGAGTTATCAATTTACCCAAAAAAAATTTTGGCGGGCTCATACGCGGGTACCACGCTTACCCGAGGGCTGAGTTAGAGCCCACTAATACACGCTTGGGCGGGGAACATTACCCCAAGATTTCAGCCTTCTAGCTTCCAGACCCCCGAGTTATGAATTTGCGCGGGAGAAATTTTGGGCGGCCCGTACGCGGGTATCACGCTTACCGGAGGCTGGATTTGAGCTCATTAGCACCTGCTTGGACGGGAAACATTCCCCTAAAATTTCAGCTTTCTGGCATCTCAGAACCCCGAGTCATGAATTTACGCGGGAAAAATTTTGGGGGGCCTGTACGCGGGTACCACGCTTACCCGGGGGCTGGATTTGAGCCCACCAATAGCCTCTTGGGCGGGGAACATTACCTCAAGTTTTCAGCCTTTTAGCTTCTCAGATCCTCGAGTTATGAGCTGATCCCAAAAAGACTTTGGCGGGCTCGTACATTGGTACCACGCAGGTTTTGGTGCCAATTTTTGGGGTGGGGGCCCGTACGTGTATATAGGATGTGTCCCCAAAGTTTCAGCCCTGTAGCTTTTGCCGGTCTCGAGATGGAAAATCGGTACAAACAAACACACAGACACACACATACACACACAGACGTCTCGTCAGTATGCGTTTTCTGCATTGCATAGCTGCAAAAAACGCATAAAAAACTCACATTCCGAGTAACCAGCGTCATCTCTTTTTTCGAAGGATTGATTTCAGTGACTTCATAGGAGTATTGCGTTCCCGTCAAACCAGTCAACTGCAATTCGAGAACTCTGTAACAAAAGCCGAGAAAAAGCATTATTTTTTCTTCCTCCACTTTACTCCCTCCATTCTTTCCTTCGCCACCAAAGCACAGTTTGCTGACAATTATTTGCAAACAGTGAAAAAAACCAAGCTGCGTAGAACCCTCGTCAAGAAAGTGTTAGAAAATGAGCACTTATTAATTGTAAAAATGTGAGTAATCGGAGAATACATACGTGAGTCACCCAAGTGGGTATTGAAAAACGACTCTGAATGATACGCTCGGAGCGCAGTGAGCCATCGCCGAGCGACTGCTGCCTGAGAACATCGATCCCGCTAACGGCACAGTTCATCGGGTTGGGGTACTTTCGCCATGCTGCATTCGCCACTTTGTCCCACGGATGACTGAAAACACAAGTCACCATAAAAGACCCGGCATAACTGTGCTCAGAATGTGCGACTATTTCAGCAGCAACATTACATCTGGTATAAAGGCTCATCAATCCAATCAGAGTAGTATTTAAGTGCAGGGTAGCAGCTCGCCCTTCGACACTCTGCTACGCTTGCAGTAAAAAATCACTACAGAAAGGCAGTACGGGCTTGAAGGAGGAAAAGAAGAAGGGGCCGGAACAACGGCCTCATAGCTAGGGGTATTACCCGGATGGGCGCCAAAATTCGTGCCTGAAATGGGAAAGCGTCGTGGGGGGG